GATTATATAATTAAGACGGTGAGTCTTGTCAACGCTAGTGAGTCTACATCCTAGAATTTTGATATATGTTGGTGGGATATCGATAAATGGTTTAATACTATTGTTTATTAAATGCTTTCGATCAATTTCTTAATCATTACTATTGAGAACAAAGTACTTTCCATTTTGATTTAGGAAATAGTATTATGCATCATGCCAAATAACGTGGCTTAAGAGTCCAATTTTTCCATCAAATTATTTTGATGATGCGGTATATGTAAAATTGATCCACCACAATGCATTGAGATGAGAAATAAAGAATGATGAACATAAATGACTATTTTGAACATTTATTCAAACAGGTGATATTTTATAACGTGATTTGCTGATTGCCAATTTGATTGGACAATTTTCTCAACAGTAGGAGATGAATTTAAAAAACTAAAAATAATGTACAAATGCATTATTATTTAAATCTCCGCAAAAGATAATTTGAACCAGAAATTCAAAAAATAATTTATTTAAATACATTTACTAACCAAAGAAATCAACAATAGTTCACATTAACTTTAAATGCTCCAACTCGAATTAATGTCTTAGAGGACAATTAATTAATATTATATTTGATAAATTTATAGCATGTTTGAAACGTGATGATGTTAGATTATAATACAAAATTTTCTAAACGAAAATAGAGCAATTAGCAAAGATGGTCTTATTAAGGAGGTGTATACTCTTGATGAGTATTTAGACATAACAAATTATAAAATGTCAGAAGAGATTCAGGTACCTGATATGTTGAAAATGAGACATCTCGATAAGTTATGTCATCATTAGAAAAGAAATAAAATTGAAAAAGAAAAAAATTGCCGACAATACTTTTATATGTATCGAAATAAATGCATCAAAATATATCTATTGAAGTAATGATTGGCCAAATAAATGGACGCAACCTAGCAAATTGAATTTATTAGAAAAACCTAAAGTTTCTTGACCTACATCCAAACACCTAAAGGTGAATACTTATGCGAAATAAAAATATAAAAAGTAAAGTCGTAATATGAAATGTACGACTCTTTACATAATGAATTTTGCGAAAACTTGTGTAGATAGATAAATTATCATGAGGTGAATGTAATTACATGTTTCTATTTTATTAGTATGGCAATACATAAAATTTGATATGCATATATAAATGTAATTATAGCCACATTATCTTATATAATTTTAATACTATCATTGAAGGATTTTATACCTGAAGCATATAATTCAACTGATATTATCACGAGGGAAAGTAAATTCGCATTGTTCTTTTTTCCTTGACTAAAGTTTTGTCCCAATGGATTTTCCTGACAAGGTTTTTAACGAGACAACTTTGTAGCATAATTAAAATAATAATATACTCTTTTTTTTTTTTTTCCTTCAATAAGACTTTTCCCGTATGATTTTTCCTATGATCATGCTACACGTACATTAGAGGTTACATAATGGGTTGTAGATTGTCACATGAAACTCTACCATATGCCGTTTAAAACACAATCAACATTTTCATCCAATTTTTTTCCTCTACATTATATTATGTAACATCTTATGTACAATTTTGATATACAAGTAGCAAAACCCTTTTTCCTAATACAATTTTAACGAGGCATATTCTTTGTATAATAAATGTTCATAACTTAAAAGATATTTACCCTCAAAATAACTCTTATATGTATGAGACTCCCAAAGAGATTAACATGAATTATTTTTCAAATCATTATATCACTAATGTCATTAAAGGTTGATAAATATCTTGTATGAAGATAGCGTTATTTGAAGGCTATAACAAGACAACATGAAACACGTTTTACCAGAATTGCAATATTGAAGACATTGACGTACAAGAGTTGGAAGACTCGATACAAGAATTTTCATCTATTGAAATAAGGGGAGCAGTTGTACTCTTTTTCCTTAGATTAAGTTTTGCCCCCACTAGATTTTCTTGACAAAGTTTTAACGAGGCACATGTTTTGTAATATGTCATTCAATAGGAAGTGTTGTAAATAATATTATTATTAGTAAATGACAATTATACTCCTACAGACCTAATTTTTATTATCACTATATCCCTAATTCTTCCATATTAATATAGGATTTTGGTTCTCAATA